TCCTCCTCCTCCTCCTCCTCCTCCTCCTCCTCCTGTGGCGACGAGGGTCGAGCTCTCGGAGGCTGCCAGTGGAGCTCATGCCCTGGGAGGCAGCCCACGAGCGGCTGGCACAGAAGAGCTCGCGGCGCTCGCGGCTGGCCCTGGCGCGCCAGAACGGCGAGGACCGGCGGCGTCGTGGCCCAGGCTCGGGAGATGGCCGTCCGCAGTGCCCTTGCGTGCTGGCCCTGGCGCGCCAGGACGGCGAGGCCCGTTGGCACCGTGGCCAAGAGTCGCACAATGGCCGGCCGAGGTGCCCTCGCGTGCCTCGCCGCGGACTCTGGGCTTCGGGCACCGGCAGGACGTCATCGGGCAAAAGCTCCTCGACCCGCACTCCGCGGCGCTGGCCAGGGAGCAGGCCGAGGGGATGGCAGCGTCCGCGTCCGCGTCTCTTCCTTCATCCGCCGCGTCCTGCTCCAGGAGGAAGAGGTGGAGGAGGAGGAGGAGGAGGAGGCAGAAGAGAAGGAGGAGGAGGAGGAGGAGGAGCAGGCAGAGGAGGGAGGGCAGAGAAAGGGGCCTCCTCCTCCTCCTCCTTATCCTCGTCCTCCTCCTCCTCCTCCTCCTCCTCCTCCTCCTCCTCCTCCTCCTCCTCCTCCTTCTCCGTCTCCTCCCCCTCCTCCCCCTCCTCCTCCTCCCCTCCTCCACTCCACTCCTCCTGCTCTTCCCCCGCCTCACTCACCCTCCTCATCCTCCATAGCCTCTGTGAGGAGGGGGAGTGGTAGGAGGACGACGATGAGTGAGGGGGAGCTTGGGCAGGAGGAGGGGGATTCCTCTTAATAGTTCCTCGCCTGCTCCCCCTTTTCCTCGTCGTCCTCCTCCCCCCTTGCCCTTCCACCCCCCCTCCCCCTCCACGTCTCCACCCCCCCACCCCCCTGCCAGCGACCCCACGTCGAGACTTAGCGATTACGCTCCCGCGCCCCCTGGCGTGGACGAAAGGGAGGGGGGTGGGGAGGCACAGGGGGAGGAAGCAAGCCAACTGTACGCAACCGGCGCTCCAGACGCCTGGAAACACCGAGCGCAACCGTGTGCTGACTGGGTCGCGCAACGACGCGCCGCGAGCTGCGGGCAGCGCGAGGCGCTCGTACCTTCGCGCTCCTGCGCGGCCTCCCGGAGACGAACGACTCTACGACCCCGCCCGCGAAGCGCGACATGTGCCTGCGCCCCCGAGGGCTGGCCCAAATGCGCAAAAGAAGAGCCTGGGAGGCGGGGCCGAAGCCACCTGCACGCAGCGAGGTTCGTCCGCCCCTCCCCTTCGGACCCCCGCTGTCCCCCATCGGCTGCGAGGTGCTGGTTGCGCGAAGTTCTTGCAGACAAGGAGCCATGCAGCACGAGCTGAGAGCACTATTCAGGATCGCTCTCACGGGCACGGCGATGGCGAGCTCTGCAGGAGGGCAACTGGCCGCTCGATGCACGCCCTTTCGGATCCGCGGAGAGCAACTCAGAGAGCTCTCGGTGCCGCCCCACAGTCTAGCGCATCGGCTCACCCGCCGTGCTAATGGCTCCGTACGGGTGAGGGTAAGGTCCGGGCAACTGAGAGCTCGCAAAGCCAACGATGCCGGCAGGCCTCTCCACACTCCTGGTAAGGTTCCTGACTAAGGTTTTATCCTTCCTGGGGATTAGCCCCGAGAGTTCCGGCCCGTTCCTGCCCTGGTGCACATCCTCGCAGAAGGAGTACAAGATCCACAGGAAATAAACCTCGACGGCCACCGCGGCCGCGGTGCCAGCGTACTTGGCGATGGACAGCGTGCCGCAGAGGAAGGCCTCACCACCGAAGTCGTGCGTGAATATGTTGGAGAGGCCTCCCCCGGGATCGCAGAGGTTCTCAGAAAGGCACCAATATATCATCATCAGGCTGTTGATCACGAAACACAGGGTAGAATAATAAAAGTACGCGCGGACGTTGGCCTCTGACCGCGTCGCCACTCCGTAGAGTCCCACCAGGATGATGGGGATGCCGACCGGTGGGGGGGGGAGAGAGAAAGAGAGAGGGAAAGGGAGACGGAGGAGGAGGAGGAGGAGGAGGAGGAGGAGGAGGAGGAGGAGGAGGGAGTGGGAAAAAAAGAAGTGGAGGGAGAGGATAACGAGGAGGCGAGGGAGAAGGAGGAGGAAGGGAGAGGGGGCGGAGAACGGAAACGTGGAGGGGGAGGAGAACGAGGAGGCGGGGAAGGAGAGCAAGGAGGCGGGGAGGGGGGGGGGACGAGGAAGAGAGAAAGGCGGGTGAGGCCGACGAGGCAGGGAAGAGGGACCATGCAAAACCCCGTGTAGGCCAGCTGAGATGGCGCGCTCCATCCTGTCAGCACCGTCGGCTGGAAGGCAATCAGGTCCAGGCACGCAAACGCGATGAATAAGATGTGACTTGAAGGACGATGCTTCCAAACGCCTCTGTCCGAGAGGGGATGTGATGGGGAGGAGTCAGGCAGCAGAGGTTTCGGGTTTGAGGAGGAGGGACAGTGAGGGAGGGTGCGCCGCTGGATAACCCCACGGGGGGGGGGGGGACCCCCCCCCCCCTTTCCTCGATCCGTCGTCGGGGACCCCCCCCTCCCCCCCTTCCCCGATCCGTCGTCGGGGACCCCCCCCCATTTCCTGGTCCGTCGTCGGGATCCCCCCCCTCCCCCTTTTCAAGGGGGGGGGGTCCGAACCCCACCCCACCCACCCCCCGTTTGGGCCGTCACCCCCCCTCCCCCCCTTTCGCCACGCCGCCCCCTGACTCCGGAACCCGACCCCCGCCACCCCTACCCCTAGTCCTCACCCTAACCCAAAACCCCTAACCCTAACCCCAGCCCCAGCCCCAAATAGTACACACTACTCATTATTCACTACCCACTACTGACTACTCGCTATTCGCCACTCACTTCTCACTACCCCCTACTCATTTCTCACGACTCACTACTCACTATCCACTACTCACTACCCACCACCAACTACTCGCTACTCAATACTCCCCACTCACCACTCCCTCCGCCCTACTCACTACTCACTACTCACTCCTCCCTACCCAACAACTCAATACTCACTGTTCACTACGCACTATACTCACTACTCCCTGCTCACAACTCTCGAATCACTACTCATCACCCACTACCCACTATCCACTACTCACTACTCACTACTCATTGCCCACAAGTCACTACTCACTACCCACTACTCGCTGCTCGCTACACCCTACTCACTACACAATACTGACTACACAGTACTCAGTACTCACTACTCGCTACTCCCATACTCGCTACTCAATACTCACTACTCACCCCCCGCTACTCACTACCCACTACTCCCTACTCACTACTCACTACTCCCTACTCACTAGTCACTACATACTCTCTACTCACTAGTCACAGGTCACTAGTCACTAGTCGCGAATCACTACTCACTACCCACTACTCACTACTCACAAATCGTTACTCACTACCCTCTATTCGCTACCCACTTCTTACTACTCACTTCTCACTACTCCCTACTCCCTACTCCCTACTCCCTACTCACTACTCACTACTCACTACTCGCTCCTCCATACTCGCTACTCACTACTCACTACCCACCACTCACTACTGACTACTCTCTACTCACTACTCACTACTCACTACGCCCTACTCGCTCCTCACTACTCGCTACTCGCTACTCCCTACTCGCTACTCACTACTCACTACCCACTGCCACTACCCATTTCTCTCTATGCATCACCACTCACTACTCACTACTCACTACGCACTACGTACTACTCAGTACTCACTACTCACTACTCACTATTCACTACTCACTACTCGCTACTCTCTACTCACTACTCACTACTCACTACTTACTACTCACTAACTACTCACTACTCACTACTCACTACGCACTACCCACTACTCACTACTCACTAATCAGTACTCGTCACCCACTACTCACTACCCTCTACTCACTACCCACTACTCATTACTGCCTACCCCCTACTCAGTACTCACCATCCGCTGCTCGCTACTCACTACTCACTACTCACTACTCGCCACTCACTACTCACTTATCAGTTCACACTACTCACTATTCTCTACTCACTACTCCCCAATCCCTACTCCCTACTCCCTGCTCGCCACTCACTACCACTACTAACTACCAAATACTCACTACTCACTACGCACTAACTCACTACTCATTACTCACCACTCCCTACTCCCAACTCCGAACTCCCTACACACCTTCTCCGGCGCAGAAAGGAAAAGCGAGTGAGGCCCCCCGTCCCTGGCTCCCTTTCCGGCGCAAAGGGGGGGAGGGGGGGGGGTCCGACCCCCCCCCTTCCAGCGGCGCCAAGGGGGGAGGGGGGGAGGGGGTCCGGAAACTCCCCTTCCTTCAAAGGGGGGGGGGGGGGGGAGGGGGGGTCGGACCCCCCCCCCATAGGTGTGGGGGGGGGGGGTCGAAAATCTCACCCCCCCTTGAAGGGGGGGAGGGAGGGGGGGGGGGTTCTGGACCCCCCCCCGCTTCGTATGTTCAGGGAGATCCACTGGCGCACTTTCAGAGTGAGGAGGCCTGAGGAAGAGGAGGGTACGAGCGTGTGAGAGAGCAGGAGGAAGCAGGAGCGAAGGAAGGAGGAGGAGGAGGAGGAGGAGGAGGAGGGGGTTGAGGCCACGGAGGAGAAGGAGGATTTCCAGGAATTCTACCATCACGTAGTGGTGAGAGAAGGAGGAGGTGGGGGAGGGAGGAGGGAGGAGGAATGAGTGGGGGGGAGGAGGGAGGGAGGAGGGAAGGGAAAATGTAATCCCAAATCCGTCACAGTGCCTTCGACATGCCATTGTGCACGTCGGAGGTTGGGAGGGTGACACCAAAACTCAACGTGAGGTGCCCCACCTGGGAACTTGTGTCGAACGCGACGTGCATGCGAACGGGGCGAAGCTGCGCGAGTTCCTGCACAGGTGGGGGCCAAGCCAGAACAAAACCAGTCGCCCCCTCCCCCTTCTGGGCCGTCGCTCCCGGTGGCCCCGATGGATGTGCCTTTCTCCTCCCCCCCAAAAGAAAAAACAGCGCTCGGAAGCTTCCCCCTCCAGCGGACGCACTCGCCGAGGTGGCACACGAGCACGATCGCCGCGCCCACGGCCAGCGGGCAGCCGCAGCAGAAGCTGGCGAGCGGGCTCATCGCGCGCGCGCGCGGGCGCGGGCGCAGCCCGGAGGCTGGGCCCTGGCGGCGGAGACGCGCTCTGCTTTCGAGGCGCCCCCCGGACCTCGGGCGGCCCGAGACTGGACCCAGGCCGGGCAGATCCTCCTACGGGCGGATCTTGGACGAAGAATGCGAAAGAGTGAAAACATACGCTGAAATAGGCAAAAGTAGTCCAAAAAATTCGTCCCCAGGCTATGTTTTACTATCTTTGAAGATCCCTCCTGTAAAGGAACATGCTCGACTTAAGACTGGACAGCCATGACTTGGGGAGCCGTGTTCCTTCCCCCCCGAGGGGGGGGGCCGAATCGCCGACGCCAACGCCGACGCCGCCTTAAGACGACGCCGACGTCGACGACGCCGCCGGCGCCGGCGCCGACGCGCCAGCGGCGACGTCGGTGACGGCCCTGGCGTCGCTGTCGGCGTCGCTGTCGGCGTCGGGGGTATCGGCGATGTCTAGAGAGGGGCTAGAAGAAGAAAAAACGGCATAAAGTAAACTTCTGGCGCTCCGCGCGGATTTAACTGGATCTGAGCTGGACCCCCCATCCCTGGCGCGCGGAGCGCGCCAGGGGCGGCGCCAAAGGCACCGCCCGCCAGGGGCGGCGCCAGAGGCACCGCCGGGGGGCCCCAGCGCGGATCCCAGAAATCCGCGCGGAGCGCCAAAAGTTTGTTTATGCCGCCTTCTCTTGTTAATAGTACCATCATTCTTCTTACTGGTATTATGATTCTTATACATATTATCATCATTCGTATGATTACTCTTCTTGTTACTATTACTATTACGTTTATGAGTATTACTATTGTCAATAGTACTCTGATTCTTAGTTGGAGTATCACTATCAATCGTATTAGGACTACTCATAGTGTAGTTAGGATATGCTGTATTACTCCTAATGTTCGTAGTATTATTCTTAGTGTGACTAATAGTATTGTTCTTGTTGGTATTATTATTCGTTGTACGATTACTGTTCTTATTACTACGAACATTCTGATATATACATATATATAGTATGATTGGCACTTCTCTTCTTATTATGTGTAGTATGTTTCGTCTTCTTATTATTATCTTCTTCTTATTATTATTATTATTCAAGAGGGATAAGAAAAAAACAAAAAAGAAAAAAAAAAAAAAAAAACTAATCCGAGGGGCCCTCGCAGGGCGGCTCAGGGCCACAGTTCCCCCAAGCGGTGGCACGCCTGCCCCGAGGGGCAGGCGCCTTCTCCGGAGGCGCCCCTCGCCGCGGCCGGGCGGCGGCCCTCGCGGGGCCCCGCCCTCGGCGAGAGGCAGGACCAGGGGGGCCACCTGCGAACCCAACGAAGTGCACCCCAGCCTCCCCCTCAGAGATCGTGGGGGGTATGGGGTTGGGTTCGCAGGTGGCCCCCTGAGGACGTGGGTTCTGGCAGGCGGGCGCTCTCGGGGGGCGCGGCGCGCGGGCGCCGTGGGCGTTCCTCAGAGACCCCGGCCGGCCCTCTGGGCGCAGGCAGGAGCCTCTTCGTTGCAGGCCTGGGCAAGTTTGCTGACTTGGCGCTCGCCCCCCCCCCACCCCCGCCTCTCGCCCCTCTGCAGACGAGCACTGGCGCGCAAGTGCCTCTCGACTTGCGTGGTTTCCGCACGTGCAAGTCGTTTGCGGCGCACTTCAGGTTCAAGCCCCCCTCGTCCATGCAAGTAAACTTGCCTGAGTTCAACAAAACAGGCTCTGGGCGGCCGGCGCTTCTCGAAGCCAGGCCGGCCCCCTGGGCGCGGGCAGTTGGCAGCGCGGCCTCCTCGGGAGGCTGGCGCGGTGAGGCTGCGAGGCGCCTGGACGCCCAAGCGGAAGACGAAGTTGGAGGCCCACTGGCGCCAGCGCTTGCTGAAGCCTGGCCCGCCCCCTGGGCGCAGGCAGTTTGCAGTGCGGCCTCCTCGGGAGGATGGCGCGGTGCGGCTGCGAGGGCCCTGGGCGCCCATGTGCCCCTGGAAGGCTACTCGTCCTTCTGTTGTTGCGGCGTGACTGTAGGGCTCCAGCTCTGCCAAGCCACTTCGTCCCGTCCGGGGAGTGGATGGCGCCTCCCCCTGCCCCCTGCCAGGAAAGGTTCTCCCCCCGCCTGGCGAAGCCACCTGGGCGCCTCCTGCGGACCTCTTGAAAACTCCTCGGGGACCTCCTGGGGCCACTTGGGCTGGCGGGGGCATCTCAAGTGCATCTGGGGGGGGCTCTGGGGGGCGTCTTGGGGGCCTCCAGAGGACGTCTTGGGGCCAGAGTGGCGGTACGAATGATCCCGTTGGCCTTTCCGCGATGTAGAATCAGAAACCACCTGGCGCCCTCTTGGAACACCTGGCTCCCTTGGAAGCTATGGGGCCCCCTTGGGCCTCTGCCTCTCCTGGGCCCGTCTTGGGGCTCCCTTGAGGCCATCTTGAGGTCATCTTGAGGGGCCTCAAGGGCGCGCGCACCGGGGGCCAAAGGACGAGAAGGCAGAAATCAGAATGCCCCTCCCCGCGAGCAGTCATGGTGTCCTCTTAGGCTGAGCATGGCTCCAACATGGCCCCGGATAGCTCAAGATGGCCTCTACTATTGTACAAGATTGTCCAAGATGGCCTCAGCCAAGCCTGCAAGATGCCACAAGACCGCCCCAAGACGCCTCGAGGTACACACGGAGCCTTGCAAGGACGTTCCCGAGCGGCGAAAAACATTCAGCCTACCAATGTCTTTCGATGACGTTGAGCTTATCGCCTGTTCGGTTCCTATCGGCTTCCGAGGCCTCGAGATAAAGCCAAAACGGCCACGAAGGGCCTACGAGGGGCCTCAAAACAGCCCCAAAGGACCCAGATCACCCCGAGAGCGCCCGAACAGGGCACCAAGAGGCGCTGCGTCAGCCTCCAAGCGAACAGGACCTTGAGTGAGCGCACCGTCTGGCTTCATCAGCACCATCGCGGAGACAAACTAAGGTCGTCCGAATGATTTGGGCTTATCAGGGGCATTCTGGGGATCCTGGGGATGCTTTGCACAAAGATGACTGCAAGATGGGCTCAGATGCCCCAATATGGCTTCCAAGAGTTTGCTCAAGACGGCCTCCAGCATGCCTCCAAGAGGCCCCCAAGACGAGCCCAAGACGGCTCCAAATGGCGTCGGAGCCTCCCAAGGATGGCATCGGAGCCTCCCAAAGATCTGTTTCAAAGGTGCACATGTGTAATAAACAATGTACCAATTGTTTGTGTATGTTTGCCTTTTCCTTCCGATGGGCTTCAGAGGCCTCACGATGTCTCCAAGACGTCCCGATAAAGAGCTCAAAAGGGGCCCGGAAGAGCTCCAAAACAACCGCAGAGGCCCCAATAGCGCCCCAAGAGGGCCCCAAGAGGATCCCAAGAGGATTCCTTGTTGGGCTCCGAGGGGGGCCATTATTGAGGACATGTTTTCTCATCTGGGGAACCTCTTGAAGTGTGGTGAGCTGAAGTGAATGGCGCGCCGAAATGTCTGGCATGTTGAAATGCAAGTACACGGACGGCCCGTCACACTGCTAAAGTGGAGGTGTTGTATCCCACTTCAGCACGTCAGTCCCTGACATGCTGGGATGTGTTTTCTGATCGCGCTTCAGCGTGACAGTTTGACCACACTCCAATGGATCGAGTACTGCAGGGACTGGCAGCCGAAAGAAAACAAGCCGCCAGAGGTCCTGGGGTCCAACCCACAGACGTCCGCAGTGATCTCAGCTATATGCGGAGCTCTCGACCCGTTCCTCCATCACGCCACACCCCACGAGGCTGGAATCGAGGAGAATCGCGTGGACTGAAAAACAGCTCGGACGCCGCATTTGTGTTCACGGCATGGATCCCTGGAGGTCTGGATCCCTTCCGCGGGGCTGGCTCTCGATCCTGCGCCGTCCTCAGACGGCGCGAGGGCCCCGCAAGGGTTCGCGAGGGCCCCGCAGGCGCTCCTGGAGGCCAAGGATGGCCAAGAACCTTCCGTCGTGATTGTTTCCCCGAGGCGAGGGCGGCGCTGGGCCGCACAGCGGTCACCTCCCGAGCGGGCCGAGGAGTTCCGAGGGCTGGCTCGTGGGCGGAAGCCAGGTCCGTACAGCAGGGGCTCGACCACAACAAACCTTCCACAGGAAACCCAACCCGGAGACCCCAGGGCGTCCATCGATTTTTTTGGTGGGGGAACGTCACGCGCTCCATCGCAGAACCATCGAGACCCAGGAAACAAAGGGCACCCTGGAGGCAAGCAGGGTATCTCTTGGCATGGGCCCCCACTGCATCAACGGCCTCGCGGGCCAGGCCCCGGGGCCGATGCCCCGGGGATGCCAGGCATTTTCTCGCAAATGCCCCGCGCGGAACTCATCCGTGCGACCGCGCACCCTGAGATCCGCGGTTGCCAAAAAAATGCAACCCTTAACCCTAAACCCTAGACTCGACCAAGCGTCCGTCTCGGCCTCGACAGGGCGCTTGCGAGGCTGGCCAAAGCGTGCAGCGAGCGCCTGAAGAATCTACGGAGCGGGAGAGGTCAAGCTCGATAAAAAATCACCTCCAGAGCCCTGGACCCCATCTTCCTGCTTTTTCGAGCCGCGTCGATAAGTGAGGGCCCTGAGGTCCGAAACCAGGCGAAAGCGACGGCTGAGAAAAAATACAAGGCCAGGATCTCAAGGTATCCGCGGGGGTCGCGCCCCGGAATCCAGACCGCGAGGGCATGGAGATATGGATATGGTCGCCGCTCGTGACAGGCGGCCCAGACTCTACGTAGAGCCCTCCTAGATGGGGTCGGAGTAGGTGGAGTCGGAGGATCCACCGTATCGCCGATATATCGGCGATGCATCGGCGATGCATCGGTAATGCACCGGCGAGGCATCGTCGACGTCGGCGATGCCTCGGCAACGCCGACGTGAAGCATATCGGGCCCCGCATCGAGCCGCATCAGTGATGCATCTGCGATGCGGCGCGATCCTCCGACCCGATCCACTCCGACCCCATCTAGGAAGCCTAGAGACTCTGCACGAGACCCAGGCCGACAGAGGTCCGGGGCCTGGGGGCGCCGGCATGCCCGCCTGCCGCTGGTCGCCAGGCCTTTGGGACCTCTCGTCGGCGCGCGCCTGCTGTGGGAGCAAGGGAGGAGGAGGAGGAGGAGGAGGAGGAGGAGGAGGAGGAGGAGGAGGAGGAGGAGAAGCAGGGGAGAGGAGGAGGATAGGAGGAGCAAGGAACAGGAGGAGGAGGAGGAGGAGGAGGGGGAGGAGGAGCGGGGGGAGGAGGAGAGCAGGGGGAGGAGGAGGAGCGAGGAACAGGAGGAGGGAGGAGGAGGAGGGAGGAGGAGAGGAGGAGGAGCGAGGAACAGGAGAGGAGGAGGAGCGAGGAAGAGGAGGAGGAGAGGAGGAGGAGGAGGAGGAGGAGCGAGGAACAGGAGGAAAATTGCCCGCCAGACGTGCTCGCCGCGGGCCCGACGCACGCGCAGGTCGGGCGGGCAGCCAGGGCCTGGCCGGGGAGGCGCGCGCGGCCCCCCGAGGGCCGGTCACGGCAGGCAGACGGCGGGCCGGCGCCCAGTTCTCCACCACCACTACCACGGGTATGGGGGGAGAGAAGGTTCCTCCTCCTCCTCCTCCTCCTCCTCCTCCTCCTCCTCCTCCTCCTCCTCCTCCATATGGCAGCGGTGGTGGAAAACCGGCCCAACAGAAGTGGATGTACGTCGGTCTTCAAGGTGTGTGGGGTGGCCAGGCGGCAGGGGCCGAAACGGCTGCGGCGGGAGGACGCGGAGGCGGCGGCGGCGAGGAGAGGCGGCGGCGAGGCGAGGCGAGGCGAGGCGGGGAGAAGGTTCTCCATTCCGTCTCCTTGTAGATAACTCCTCCCTGTCGCACCCCGATGCCAGTTTTTAGGGCGGCCTGGGCGTTTCGCCTCAGACTTCCTCACCATTTACATCGCCGCTCCGAAAGTTCCTTGAATTTTATGGAGTGGGCCCGATGGCACTGCGTGCTCGCCTACATCGCAGTTCTCTTGGCAACGGCCTCGATGGGGTTGAGGGCCAGGATGCGTTGAACCCCCCCCTAGAAGCCTAGCAAGATATCCCTCTTGCGTGGTCGGCGGGATCCTTGGCGAGTAGTTCCCCCTTTAATAATTAATAGAAGTTTAGTCCGGCCAACCATAAATGTCACCCATGAAAAATAGGGTCCAAACAGATCCCGCGGTGGGGCCCAAGCCCGCGAATGTATGACGTGTTCGGATCGTCTTGAGGTCATCTTGAAATCATCTCCAGGCCCTCTTAAGACCATGGTGTTCTACTCTGGGAATGCTCTGGCCACCTCGGGGTCGCTCTGGGGCCACTGCGCCTGGTCTCCATGGGAACGCTCACATCTTGGGCCATCTTGGATTCGCCCCCAGGCCATTTCGACGCTGCGTCTGGATCCTGCAGGGGCCACGGGGTCCTCTTGGGGTCGCTCCGAGGTCATCATCATGCCCGTCTGAGGCCGTCGTGGAACCACATTGGGGCCATGGGGCCACCCAAGCATCCTGTCTGGGTCGTCTGGAGGTCTTCCGCGTTTCCAGGGAAACTTTCGTTACGCCGAAGTATGACTCTGAAGTTGCAGCAGTTTCACAGATGGAGGGCGGGTTGTTTTCAAAATGTGGCTCTCGCCATAGCGTCGCGCACATTCGTTTTATAAGAGTTTCACGGATAGAGGGCGGGTCCTTATCAAAATGTGGCTCTCGCCTTGGCGCCGCGCACATTCGTTAAAACAATTGCAAAAGTTTCACGAATTGAGGGCGGGCCCTTTTCAAAATGCGGCTCTCGCCTTAGCGCCGCGCACATTCGTTATAATAATTTGCCAGAGTTTCACAGATTGAGGGCGGGTCCTTTTCAAAATGTGGTTCTCGCCTTAGCGTCGCGCACATTCCTTTTAAAACATCGCCTCTCGCCTTCGCGCCGCGCACATTCGTTGCAGAAAACTCGCAAGAATTTCACGGATTCCTTTGATCAACGTACCAACATGGCTTGTTGGAAGGATTCAGGATTATGCGGGTGCAACAGTTCTGCTGATTCGCAGTGTTGAAGTCCCACAAATGGCGCTCTGGCACGATTTTGGATCGTCAAGACGCAGCAGTCAGGTCGATACGTGGCGCTGAAATCCCGAGAACAGTGTTTTGGCATGCTTCGGGATATTCAAACGGTTGTCTTCCAACGAGGCACTTCCCTCAATGGAAATGAACCGTTGTGGGGGCCTATGAAGAGGGAGCTTGGAGGGAGGGTTAATTCCAACATCGTTGATGATTCTTGGTTTTACATTGGTCCTCCTTCTCCTCCTCCCCCTCCTCTTCCTCCTCCTCCTCCTCCTCGTCCTCCTCCATATGGCAGTGGTGGTGGAAAAGTGGCCCAGCGGAAGTGGAGGCACGTCGGTCTTCAAGGCGTGTGAGGTGGCCAGGCGGCAGGGGCCGAAACGGCTGCGGCGGGAGGACGCGGCGGCGGCGGCGAGGCGAGGCGGAGGCGAGGCGGCGAGGCGAGGCGAGGCGATGCGAGCGCCGAAGACGACGGCCCGCGAGGGGCACGGCGGGGGCGCCGGAGCGCCTAAGCGCACCTGGGCGACAAGGAGCAACGGGCCTCGCGCGGGATCGGGCGTGGCGACCTGACGCGGTGGCTCACGCGGGCCGCCAGCGCGGCACGCTGCACTGGAGCCGAGGGCGCTGACGCGTGGCCTTGCGCTGGCAGAGTACATGTCGGTCGGAAGAAGCGGCGCTCATCGGCGCTGGCGCTGGATCATCGCTTAGCAGACGCGAATCAGCACTGGCGCACTACACTGAGGGAACTGCGGCTGAAAACGGCATCAACACAAAATGTTAGAGATCCGCGCGGATTTCTTGGATCTGCGCTAGAATCCCCTCCCTGGCGCGCGGAGCGCGCCAGGGGCGGCGCCAGAGGCGCCGCCAGGGGGCCCCAGGCTGCAGAATTGGCTTAACCCAGAATTGGTTTTCCGTCGAGCCTACGAAGCAAACATGTAGAATATGCTGGACTTTCTTCGCTCCTTTCGCAGCTGTGGCAGGCAGGCGAAGGAAGGCTGGGGGGAAACCAGCCCTGTAGTCGATCGTCTGTCCGAATCCTGACCTCGGGCCCCGGCCGGGCGCGCGCACCGCGCCGCGCGCGCGTGCCGCGAGCGGCACCGCACGAGGCGCGCCGGCGCTCGCGCGTGCCGCGCGAAGAGACGGCCAGGGCCGGAGCCGCGACGCCCAGCTGCTCCGCGGGGGGGAGGGGGGCAGGGGGGGAAGGGCGCGGCGGGCGGGAAGGGGCGCCTGCGGCCCGCCGCAGGCGAGCGGGGGCCCAAGCCTGGGGAGCCTTGCCGCGGGTCGGCGGGCTGAGCGCGTGCAGCGGCGGGCGGTGGCCCGAGCATGATCGCCCAGCTGTTCACGCTGGTGCGGCACGGACTTCCCATAGGAGCACCCCACGGTGGGCCCTGGGGGGATCGGGCGCCTTGCCGACGTCTCCCCGGGTGATGGAGTGCGACGTGCGCGTGGGAGAGCACGGCTCCGATCGGGGCGCCTCTCTGCGGGTGGGAACGCCGCTCCCTGTCGAGACGCCTCGTCGTGATTCGGGACAGCGGGCGATTCATGTCGAGACGCCTCTTCGTAGAGAAAGAGAGGCTCACGTCATTTCGACACGCTTCTCTTCTTGGCGAACGAAAGTCACATGCAAATGATCCCATCGGGTGCTGTCATTCCTCCACCTGGAACAATGTTTCCTCATCAGTGGTCAGAGGACGGGCTGGCATCCCCGAGAATGGGGTCAGCTCCTTGCCCCCCCTGGGGCCCCTCCCCCGTGTTGCTGCACCCCCTCGTCCTGGGGGACGAGGCCGCAAGCACTCTGGGGGGGCGAGCCCGAAGTCCCAGCGCAGCTCCTCCCAGCAGAACCCGCCGCGGGGGTCCCCTGCACGCCCCAACTCTCATCCAATGTCGACCAACTCCTATCAAATGTGGACTTAGGTCGGGCATGACCCCCCGCAGACGAAGGTTTGACGAAACATTAAAAATAGTCAAAACAAATATTCAAAAAAAGAGTCACAAATACTCAAAAAGTCGCCCCCTGACTATTTTTTAACTATTTTTGAATATTCCCCCTGTAGAGGACACGCCCGGCTCAAGGGTGGACTCCTGCTGCCGCGCCGAGGGGGGCGCAGCCAGGTCGGCGGGCACCCCTTCTGGGCGCTCCGCCCCTCATCTTCGTGTTGAGCTGCGCTCGTGCCGTGAGCGGGGGGCACGCGGGGGGGGCGCCGAATCTGGTCGAGATCCCCCGCGTGGATGGGATGGCAGCACATCATTTTACAAGTGCGTGCCACACTGACGCCACGCATCTCTAGCGCCCCGCGCGACACCTCTTGTGGGGGGGAATGGGGGGACGCCGGATCTCGTGCGAGCGTGTGGACCTAATCAAATTAGGACAGCTGGCGTTGCAGCCGTGCTGTATACTGGAGGTCGACACCTCATGTGGGGGCAAATGTGCGTGTGTGTGTGTGTGGTGTGGTGTGGGGGGGGGGGGGGGGGCAGACCGAAATCTCACACGATCCTGCAGCTACAGGCGGGAAGATGGGAGGAGGAGAATGGAGGCAGCAATCAGGGGGAAGGCGCAGTAACAAGGAGGGAGGACGGCGTGAGGAGCCAGAGACAGCGACCAGGAGGAAAGAAGAGTAGAAGGAGAAGAAGAAAAAACAGCATAAACGTAAATGTTCGGCGATCCTCTCGGATTTCTTGGATCTGCGCTGTATCCCCCTCCCTGGCGCGCGGAGCGCGCCAGGGGCGGCGCCGGAGGCGCCGCCGGGGGGCTCCAGCGCGGATCCGAGAAATACGCGCGGAGCGCTACAGGTTTATGCTTACGCCGTCTTTTCTTCTGCGAAACGAGGCAGGAAGCAGGAGGAGGAGCAGGAGGGAGGGAGGGAGGAGCGAGGGAGCGAGGGAGAGAGGGAGAGAGAGGACGAGCGAAGGGCTGGATCAGGCCCTGCTCGAGGGCGCACGCAGACCCAAACCCCCGACGTCATGATCTGCTCACTGGGCCGACCTCTGGAGGCCTCGACCCCTTCTCTCCCCTGGACCGGCTCCTCGCCCCGAGCCGTTTTGTTGACGGCCCCAGAGGGCCGGCCAGCGCCCCCAGCTGGGGCCGCAGATGGCCCCCAGATGGGGCCGCAGAGGCCCGCCGTGTCTGAAGGGGCCCACAAACACACAAATAAGTACACACAAATAACAGGAATCCCCATATTTGTCCTACATTTTCAGGGTTTCTGTCTTCCCCCCCCTTCCCATATTTTCCCATATTCCCCTGGAAATCCAGGATTAGTTGTGTCTGTGTGTTTTTCTCTCCCTCCTGAGTGTCCTGTGCCACTGTCACTGAGTGTCCTGAGTGTCTGTGTGTTTTTCTTTCCCTCCTGAGTTCCTGGGGAGCCCGCCCCCGCTCCGCGTCACCGGCACCCCGGCGCGCACCCGAGAGCGGGCGCGCGCCGCGGCGCCCCGCCGGGCGGCGCCCCGCCGGGCGCCGCGCCGCCGCCGCCCGGCGCGGGCCGCCGCGGCGAGCGCCGCGGCGGCCCCGCGGCGGCGCCCGCGGCGCCGCACGCGGCGTCGTGCGCCCGCAGGGCCCCCTCGCAGAGGTAGGGCGCGGGTGGGAGCCCGTTTTTGTTTCGATCCCGGCGAGTCCACGGCAGGTTCGCACGTGGCCCCCTACTCGCAGAGGTGGGGCGCGGGTGGGAGCCCGTCTTCTGTTCGATCCCGGCGAGTTTGATTACCCCAGTGCGACCCTGCCTAGAAGTTGGAGCCCCTAGGAAAGCAGCATTAGTTGCTATGCTATGCTATGCTATGCTATGCTATGCCATGCTATGCTGCGCTATGCTATGCTATGCTGTGCTGTGCTGTGCTGTGCTATGCTATGCTGTGCTATGCTATGCTATGCTAAGCTATGATATGTCATGCTGCGATGTGTTATGCTACGATATGAAATGCTATGGTATGCTAAACTGCGTTATGCTATGCTATGCTATGATATGATTTGGTATGATGTGCTATGCTATGATATGCTATGATATGATATGATATGATGTGCTATGCTATGCTATGCTGTGCTATGATTGGCTATGGTATGATATGATATGCTATGCTAATGCAGCGCTGCGCTATGCTGAGCTAAGCTAAGCTAAGCTAACCCTCTAGGCAGAGCCTAGGTAGGGAATTACACCCACGCTAATGCTACGCTATGCTATGCTATACTGTGCTCTGCCATGCTAAAGCTCAGCGAAGTTAAGATGAAGGTAAGCTAAGCTAAGATAAACCTGAGCTAAGATGAAGCTAAGCTAAGCTAAGATGAAGTAAGCTAAGCTAAGATGAGATAAGCAACGCTAAGCTAGGGGGACGTAACTGGTGGAACCGCGGGGCGGATACTGGGGGAACCGCCCGGGCCGGTTCCCACTGCCCGGCCCTTTCAGCCAAGAGAGTAAGAACCCTTCTAGGCAGAGCCTAGGTAAGGAATTACGGCAGGTTTGTGCCGCGTCGACCCCGGCGGCGGTGTCTTGACACCACGGGGAGCATTCGGCCTGGAGTGATCAGCCGCTGCCGAAACGCCAGATCGTTCAGCATCGATCGACTCTGGGTCGCCGGCGGCGTTCAGAGCTGAACGCCGGCGGCGGGGTCGCCCCCGGTCGACACGACGCGAACCTACCGTACTTGCACGGCCGGGGAGGGGCGAAGGGGCCCTGGGACACACAAATGAATAGACACAAACAACAGGATTCCCCATATTTCCCCATATTTCCTGGGGTTTTGCCTTCCCCCCCACTTCCCATATTCTCCCATGCTTTCTGGGGGATCGACGATTCGTTGTGTCTGCGTGTTTTTGCTTCTCCCTCCTGAAGGGGTGGGGGGGCCTGCACCGGAAGCAGAGGCCGCCAGCGGCCTGCGCGTGCGGACAGGTCGCGCGGGTCGGAGGGCCCGGGCACGCCGGCACTCGCCCGAAGAGGGGCGGGGGTGCGGGCCCCAGGAAAATACACCACCACCACGTCGGTTCCTCCTCCCTCCTCCACCCTCGTCTTCCTCCCCTCCCTCCTAGCAGCTGGGAGAGGAGGGCGGTGAGAGAGGTGATGGTGGTGTATACCCTTGGGCCCCGCAGAGGGGGCGGGTGCAGCCGAGCCCGGGATCGAATCGCGGAGCCGAAGCGGTGATCGAAAGGAAGCGCATCGGCGGACAAAATCGGCAGCCGAGTCGGGAGAAGGCGAATCGGCGAGACGCGGCAGGCTCGTTTGCCTCCACTGAGAGATCGGAGCCCCAACCGGAACCCGGAGTCGAATCGGAATCGGAATCGGAAGCCATCCACACCGAATCGGATCGGATCGGGGGAATGGAAACGAGCCCTCTGGGGGGGGGCGGGGGGGAGCCAACGCCATGCGAGCAGACTCGCCCGAATCGAAAGAAAAAACGGGCTCTGGCGCGCGGCTCCGCGGCGCCTCGCGGCCGCGGGCGGCCGGGCCCCCGGCGGCGGCGCCGCCGCGGCGCGCGGGGCTGCGGCGGCCGCGCGGCCGCCGCTCCTTCGGGGGGGGGGGGGGCGGCCTGTGGCCGACGCCCGCCGTGGCCGGCGCCCTGCCGCGGCGGTGCGGGGGGAGGCCAGTGCACGAGAACCCTGCCACAAGAAGCGCAGTCCCTGAGGCCCCAGGACGTGCACCGATTTCTGGCGTGGGCGAGCGTCACGCTTCCCGCAGCAAGACCCTCGAAACCCAAGAGACCCAGGGCACCCTGGAGGCAAGCACTGCCGTTCTGCACCATGTCCCTATCCCTGTGCTTGGCATCACCTCACCTCGATGCCGATCTTGAGGATCCCCTGCTTCCGAGGGCACATCCCTCAGATTGTCCTCGCTTCTTGCTCGCCCCTCTCAGGGATGGGGGCAAGCTCGAGGCTGGTCAGAGCAGGGCGTCTCTTGGCATGGGCTCCCACCGCATCCTCGCCTGCCGAGCTCCCCCCCTTGCGGCAGGGCCGCACGCGCGCTCGAGCGGCCGGGAGAGGGCCAGCCTCTCCGGCTACACGGAGCCTTGAAAAAATATATAGTTGCTTTTAAGCAAACATCCGGGCACGTTTACTCGAACAAAAGAATATATCCGCGCACGTTGGCTTTTAAACAACAAATCCATGCACGATTGCTTTTAAACAACCAAAATATTTACCTTGAAACTAAAGATCCGGCAAGCTTACTCGCATGGACGGGAGGGGGGGCCTGAACCTGAAACAGCCCGCTAACGACTTGCGCGTACGGAGATCACGCAAGCCGAGGGGCACTTGCACGCCAGTGTTCGTTAGAAGAGGGGCGAGGGGGGGGGAGGAGGGGGCGAACGCCATGCAAGTAGACTTGCCCCTGAATCTTAAAAAAACGAGCTCACACGCGCGTCCTGGGATGTCCCAGGGTGAGGCGGCGGGGGGGCGTCACGGAAGGGGATGGCTTGCTGTAGGGGTCGGTCGAGCCACCCCTTCCCCGTGCAGTTGTCGGTTTCGTGCGTGTTTCTGTTGCCCGATGATCCAGGATGCTCCTCGATGGTCCTCACCGAGAGAACAGCGCACACGTCCGAGCGATTCCAGGGGGACGTCCTGGGGTGAGGCGGCGGGGGCGTCACGGAAGGGGGCGGATTGCAAAACACGTCGGTCGGAAGAAGTAGGTAAAAACATGAAGTAGGAAGGCGGATGAAGTAGATTTGAAAGACCATGCCGATTCTTGATGTAGGAAGGTGCTATAGAAGTAGATTGGGATCTGGGAAGTTCGAAAATACTACTTTCAACGACCGGCGTGTGGGGGTTGAGTAGGACTGGGGGGTCAGATCTGCAGAACACCCCAAACGGACGTCAAGGGGCGCAACCAACCTGTCCGACCAAGCTGAAACTGTTGCACTACAGTGGGCGTCAGGCCAAAACTCTGGACATAAGCGAACGGTTGGACGCTGCACATCTCAGTCGGCTCAGCCAGCGAGGCGCTTGACCACCTTGACGCCCCTTTTTGGGGTGGCCCAATAGAGGGAGGCGCTCTCTGACCCTCGGCTTAGGTCGGGCCTGTCCCCCTACAGGGGGATTTTCGACGAAAAATAAAAAAAATACTCCAAAAATAATCAAAAAGTAATCAAAAAAAAGTCTGGGGATGATCTTTTGAGTATTGTTTGACCTTTGGGGGGTATTTTGTGTGTATTTTTATTTTTCGTCGAAAATCCCCCTGTAGGGGGACACGCCCGACATGACCCTCGGCCCTACTCGGAGCACTCATGCCGGACGCCATGGCGCGCCAGGGAGGAGCAGCCGTGGCCCTGGGCTGGCAGCGCTCCGCCGCCAACTGCGGCAGCTGCATACCACGAGAAGCCAGCGGCGCCGCGGAGCGGCCACGCTTCAAGACCGCGCCGCAGAGCGGCCGCACTTCGGCGGTGGACAAGCCTCCCTTCAGCAGGCCTCACCCTGGTGAAAAACGGCCTGGGACCGAAACCGACGGACCCGGACCCGCAAAATGACGGCCGCGACTCTTCCTTCGCGAACCGAGAACGGCCCATTCCTGAACCGACGCGTCAGGGTAGGAGGTCTGTCCAATCCCCGAGCACTTCAGTGTAGGGGTCGGTCGGGCCCCCCGGAGCTCCGCACCCTCCACGTCGCGCTGCAAGTCCCGCACCGCGGCAGCGAGCCTCTGCGCGACGAAGTCGCGCCGGGCGGCGTCGGCGGCCGCGGCCGCCTCGGCCAGGGCAGGCGGCGTGCACGGCGGGGTGCGGGCTAGGTCGGGCGTGTCCCCCTACAGGCGGATTTTGGAAGATCTGCTGTACAGGCGGATTTTGAGATAAAAAAGGAAACAAAAAAAAAACAATGAAATTAAAAAACAAATCCGAAAATGATCAAAAAAACGTCCCCCGACTATTTTTGTTGACTGTTTCTGGAGATTCCCCCTATAGGGGGAACGCCCGACTCAAGGTGTGGGGCGAGGGGGTCGACCTCCCTGGGACGCGGGGGGGGGGGGGGGGCTTCTTGAAGGGAGGGCCTTAAAGGCCCTCCATTCAAATTCTGAGAAGCCCACTGCACTCTCAAAGACCACCCCTGGAGAGCAGAACCACCCAAAAAAACAACTCCCGAGAAGCACCCCGACGCGCGAAGAGCTGCACGCAAGGCAGGAATCGAGCAGGGCAGGGCTGTTTCGGAAACGCCCATCGGGTCGGGCGAAAGGGGGGGATAGCAAAGGCGGGGTTTGAGAATCAGCTCACGTAGCTGATTTTTCCGGCGCCTCCCGGCGCCGAAGGCGGCCATGTATCGAGGAATGGGCCCCTCGGTGAGGCCGAAACCAGCTGCATGCAGCAAATTTCGTAACCCCCCCTTCCCCAATCCCCCCCTTTCGCCCGGCCCGAGCCCAGGGCCGTGCGCAGGATCCAGGAGAGCGACGGGCAGAAACGGGTCTCGCGCGAGACGGCACAGCGACGGCACGCCACATCGGAAAAAACGAGGGCGCCCACGCGCGACCTTGCGCGGGGAGCCTACGCGCGAAGGTCGGCGCCAACGACCCCGCTTCTTCCCGTCGCCCAGGTGGCTCCTCCTCCCTGGAGTTATGTCTGGCGTGTCCCCTGGCGTGTCCCCCTACAGGAGGATTTTCGACGAAAAATATAAAGAAATACCCCAAAAATACCCCCAAAACGCCAAACAATACGCAAAAAAAGCAATCCCCAGACTATTTCTGGTCTTTTTTTTTTTCCTAGTTCTGGGCGTACTCTCTCACTTGTCGTCGAAAATCCCCCTGTGGGGGGACAGGCCCGACTTCACCCTGGAGCCCCCCCTCTCCCCCCCCCCCTGGCGCGAGCCGCCGGCGCCTCCTCCTGAGACAGGCCCCGCCTGCCGCCCGCCAGCAGGGCCACCCACTCCGCCCGGAAGCGCTCCCAGGACGCCGCGCGCGCGGCCAGCAGGCGCCGCCGGAGCTCCACGGCCTGCGGCAGCGCCATGGCCGGCGACGTGATCGCCACGCTGCCGGCCACCATCTCGGGCGCCCGCATCTGCACGAAGACCGCGAGGCCCCAGCGCCCCGCCCCCGCGCCGGGCTCGCGCAGGGCCGCGCCGAAGGCGGCGCAGACCTCCGCGGGGCTCTCCCACACCTCGGGCCCGGCGGAGGCCAGGCGGTCGCGGGCCTGCGCCAGGGCGAGCTGGGCCTCCAGGGCGTCCTCACGGGGCCCAAACCTATACACCACCACCACCTCCCTCACCCCCTCCCCCTCCCGGGACAGGAGGAGAGGAGGAGGGTAGAGGGAGGAGGAATCGACGCGCTGGTGATGTATACTCATGGGAACAAAGATCTTGGCATAAGCATAGATACTCGGAGGTCCCGCAGTCCTCGAGGGGAACCTTCCTCGTGTAGACCCTGAGCGACTCGACGTCGAGCTGCGCGCTGTACTTGGCGCCGGCGCGGCCGCGCACCTCGCGCAGCCGCACCGCGCCAGGGCCTCCGCGCCGGCGCGGCGGCGGCCGGACGGCCGGCTCGTCGGGGTCCTGCTCCTGCCAGAGGGGCGGAGAGCAAAACTAGGGCGGGAGTGATGTCCTGCCCAGACCCCCTCGAGTCGCGAAAAGATCGCGACGGGAGGTGTTTCCACTATTTTCTGCCTCTCCGGGGGCCACTCCCAGGCCGCGGGAGCGCGAGAAAACGACTCGGTATGAGAAACCGGTCCCAGGGAAGGGGTCCAGACCTCTGGAGGTCGACATTTCGACAGAAACACGACGTCGGGGGTCTGGGCTCCTGGATGTCCAGAGCAGCCTGCTGCCCCTCCTTTCGGGAGCCTGCGCGGACCAATCCGTGGAACGCCTCATCATCACAGCTTCTTGAGCGGGCAGACAGGCCGCCCTCCTAGCACGCACCCCGACAGGCGAAGCCGTCTAGCAAACAGCCCCAGAGAAGGGAACGAACAGGACAGGGCTGCTTCGTAAACGCCCGGCGCCGTGTACTGAACGCCAAGTATGGGGGTCGGGGTGATTTTTCCTCCCCTCACTCGTGCTCCTGCGAGGGAGGAAGTGTGAGAATCCACCCCGGTTTGCTCCCCAACCCCACCTGGGGAGCTCCCCCCCTGCGCGCGCCCCCCGGTCCTCAGCACCGCTGCGCATGAAGTCCACGAGCGCCGCTCGCACCCGCGGGGCCATGCGGAGGATCGACGCGTGGCGCGCCTCCTTGTCCATGCACCGCAGCAGTGCCCTCACCCTGCCCAGCCGCGCGGCTCTGCTCTCGCGCAGCTGGGCGGCCCCGCGCGCCGCCGCCTCTGGAGCGGCGTCGCCGCCCTCCTCGGCGGCTGCCGGCGCGCCTCGGCGCTGGCGGGGGGGCGGCGCGGGGGGCTGGCCAGCTGGCGGCTGCCTCTTCGCGGCGCGCTCGCGCTCGGAGCTCTGGCCCGCGACGGGGCACGAGAGCGCCTCGAAGGCGGCCGCGACGCCGTGGAAGGCCTCTGCCGATCCGCCCTTGTCCGGGTGGGCCGACAGCGCCGCGCGCCGGTAGGCGGTCCGCAGCTCCTCCGCGCTGGCATCGGCGCGGACGTTCAGGGTCGCGTAGGGATCCCCGCCTGCGAGAGCCCCAGGGGCGGAGCCCGCCGGGGCTGCCGGCGCGGTGAGTGGCATGGCGTGCGGCTGTGACGCGCCGTTGCCCACATGATGGTTGAGAGGGAGGACGCCATCGCGGCGTTCAAGGAGGGGGCCCGGGGGTGCTCAGAGGCTCGCCATGACGGCGACAGCCCCCGCGGCGGGCCCGGGTGCACGCAGCGAGCGTGCGCCCCGGAAGCTTGAGCGAGGCTGGCGCGGGGGCGCGAAGACAGAATGCGCATGCATTATGTAGGAGCCCGATGGGGAATCGCGTGTGTGTGCCACTCCTCCTCCTCCTCCTCCCCCTCCTCCTCCTCCTCCTCCTCCTCCTCCTCCTCCTCCTCCTCCTCTTCCTCCCTGGCCTCCAGGCCTCGCCGCACCGCGCCTCTCCTCCCTGGCCCCTCCCTGCGGAGGCAGTGGAGGCCCGACCACAAGAGACCTTCCACAAGAGACCCGAGCGATCGTGTTCTTCTGCGCTGTTCTGTCGATCGGCGCGGGCCCTCGCAACCGCCCCCCACCCCTCCGTGGCATAGATCCTGGCTGTTTTTGGCGCCTGTTTGGAGCAGGTGGAGTCTCCCCTCGTAGGACGCACTGTCGCAAACAGTCGCACTGAGCAGGGATCTAGAGCCAGACCCCCCCCCTCCCCCCCTTCCGCCTTCCGCCCAATGTCGAAACGCCGAATAAGAAAACGCTCACCAACCCTGAGACCCCAGGACGTCCATTGATTTCCGGGATGGGAACGTCACACTTTCCATAGAGAAGCCATCAAAACCCACGGAACCAAGGGCACCCTGGAGGCAAAAAGGGCGTTTGTTTGGCATGGGTCTCAACTGTACCGATGCGCTCGGCCTCGCTGCGCTTGACAAAGCCAAACGCACGGAGGATGCCCGAGAGGTCAATACGAGACGGCGGCCCTTGCTGCACGAAGGGGGGGGTCCTTGCCCTTGAGACAGGCCTCCCCCGCCACGAACTCCCCGAAGTGCCTCGCCCCAACGGGCCCGAGACGACCACGACGGCGGAAGACCATCCGCCAGAGCCGCCTCGGACCTAGTCGGGCGCCTCGAGCTCCTCAAGCGGTCCCTCGCAAGAGAGCGAGAGAAGAAAGGGCAAGAGAGAAGAGGAGGTGACGATGAGGACGCGGAGGGGGACGGGGTAGCATGGAAGGGGCAGGAAGAGAAGGAGAGGCAGAAGGTGCTCTGATGAAAGCGGGGACCGAAACAGGAGGGTTGGGAGCAATGTTCGAGGTGTGGTTTGCTTTCGAGGCTGTTCCTTCCTACGCGGCCTTGGCATGGCTTCGGCGAGGCTCGCGAAGCTCCAAGAACGGCCCCGTCAGGGCCCAATGACGGCCCGAGCCCGAGAAAGACCCCCCCAGCGGCCGAAGGCCACCACAACAGGGTTCCCACATGGCACCGAAACCCGCCCGGACGGCCCCAAAGTGGTGTAATACCGAGCCCTGTCCGGAGAACGATCGCGGTGCAGACGGGGTCGACATCCCCGTCGAGCCTCGAGCCTACAACAGGGTCGGGGGAGGACCAAGCCCAAGGAGGCCCCCCAAAAAAAAACCCGAGCGGCCCCCGAAGAAACCGACGGGGGCGGCGCCGTGGCGGCGAAGGCGTGCGGCAGCGGCGGCGGCGGACGGATCACTCGCCTGCGCCGTCTGGGCGTCCTCCCTGCGCGCTGACCTCTCCAGGCCCTCGCTCGCCGCGCGGTGCTCCGCCCGCAGCCGCTCCACCTCGGTGCGGGGCCGTGCGCCACCACCGGAGCCGCCGCTGCCCGTGCTGCTGCTGCCGCTGCTGCCGCCGCCGCCGCCGCCGTCGTCGTCGTCGTCGGGCTCGGGCACGGCCGGGGCCGCCCACGCGCGCTGACGCCGCCGCCGCAGCGGCGGCGGCCGCGGCGCGCAGCAGGGAGAGCGCCGCCGCCGGAGTTTTTTCGAGGGGTCCAAGAGTTCCCAGGGGGGGAGCGCCACACTTCGGACAGATGGTCTGTCCAGGCCCCGGGGCTACGAGCGCCCCGCAGACCTACCTCGCAAGGCGGGCGGTGCCGCTTACGAATCAGGGGGGCCCCCTGGAGCGGCCGAAAGGAGGCACCGTCTGGACAGGGAAGCGGGCGCGCGGTGATCAGGGCGCTCAAGGGCCCGTCTGCGCACCCGCGACAGGAGCGCAGCCTTTACACGCACGCTGGCATGCGCACTGCGGAGCAAGGCAAAGCGAACGGCACCGCCCCGGAGCGTTCCTCAGCGGCCCTACGGACACGAGCGAGGGAAGGGTTGCCAACAGTTCGCGGAGCTCGCTCAGAAGGGGAACGCAGCACAGGTGTGCTACTGGTGAGCATCTCCACGCGCCTGGTCGCTCGCGGGGGGGAACGCCCCGGGGCGAGGGGGCGAGCGGGCCTAATGAAGCGCGATCCAGGCGGTCTGCTCTTTGCACGACGCGGAAGCCAGCACCCTCCTGCAGCCGTCCTTGGACGCGCTGCTCGGGCGCGTCGGGTCGGCCCTCCCAGCCGAGGCGGACCTAGCTGGCGACAGTGCTCAGTGTGACTGGGCTGGCGAGACGGCCTCCCCGACCTCGCCCATCGACGACACGGGTCTCAGCACCCAAATTTTTCACGCGGACCCGCTATTGGGAGGCGGTCCAAACAGAAGCGGCCGGAGTGGCCCCCAGTTGTCCAGGGACTTGGGACAGCCGTGGCGCCACCTCCAGGCTTCCAACACCGTGCAGGAGGAGCATGGTGAGGATGCACGTGCACCCGCTGAGGGCGACTCCATCCGAGGGGTAGATGGGGATCGAGCGGAAGAATTCTTGTTTCACGATGACGCTATCGCTCGGGCCTTGTACCGAGCTGAAGTCTCCGAGGCCCGGGACCTGCTCGGGCTTCCGGACGACGACTCCGAGGCCGAGGACGACGACTCCGAAGCCGACGAGGCATGCGAGGCCGCATTGGCCGAGGATGACACTCTCGCTCGGGCCCTGTCCGGTTTTCGGACCGGGACCTGCCCGAGCCCTGATGCGATCGCTCTGGCCCGGGACTTGCTCGGGCTGTCGGACGACGACTCCGAGGCCGAGGACGACGACTCCAAAGCCGACGAGGCATACGAGGCCGCACTGGCCGAAGCAGGAGCTCCCTTCGAGCTCGACGACGACGCCTTCGCGGCAAACCTGGCTGCAGCGGAGGCCGACGAGACCAAGGAGGTCGCTGTCAAGGACGGCGGCGGCGCCCCGGAGGTCCCCTTGAGAGTGGCTTGGACCGACCTCGAGGATTCCCCGAGCGAGTACGACGAGGAGTGGGAGCAGGTGCACGCGCGCAACTGGGCGGAAGTGGCCACGTCGAGCCACCTCCCCGCCGCGCCGGAGGCGGGCCCCGCGACACCAAGCAGACGGGCCGCCAGGCCCAGAAGGAGTGCGCAGCGGCGGCGGCGCCGGGCCGGCCCCGCCCCCGAGCCCTCCTGACGGTCTCGCCGGGAGAGTGTCTGGCCCGCGTTGCCGGCTCTCCTGAGGCGCAGTGGAACGCACCCCGCGCTTAAGCGCGGAGCCCGGCCTCCTTTGCCGGGGAGGCGTAAGTGGATGCCGTCCGAGCGGGGCGCCTGGCCCCCCGTTCCCTGGCGGATCAAGGGGCGGGGCCCCACCAAGAGCATCGTTTGCGACATCTTCGGTCTCTTCGATGTGCAGGAGCTCTTCGTGCTCTTCTGCGACGCCTGGGTCAAGGAGTTCCCCGTGCAGGAGCGCCTCGACGCCCAGATTCATCTTTGATGTCGAGTGGCTCGCCCTCCCTGAGGTGCGTGCCAGGGCCGGCCTCGGCCCCAAAGCAGTCTGCCCCACTGTGGCCCATAAGTGGCTGTCCTTGATGTGCGAGCAGCAGTTTCACTTACAGCGTCAGCCCAGGCTGGCCATCGACGCGCCGATAGTGCAGGTCTTATGCGGCATGGTGGGGACCAGCATCATCGGCTTCTTTAACGGCCCCCTGCGCTAGCGGGCGGCCTTCTTTCACTGTCTTCACCACAGAGTCAGGGTGATGACAGACACCAAATATATATCTGCTCTTTGCACGGGGTCGAGCTGGTGCTCGACGACGTGACGGTGGAAGCAGGCATCCCACCCCCAGTGGGCCAATGCTGCTCGTGGAAATATAGCGAAACTCGCATCCCAACCCCAGAGGGCCAATGCGGCACGCGAAAGTAGGGCGAAGCTCCTCTTCCCACCTCCAGTGGGCCGATGCGGCTCGTGGAAGCAGGCCGATGCACACATCCCACTCCCAATGGGCCAATGCGGATCGTGGGGATACCGGGCCATGGCCCTGGTAGCATCCATGAAGTACTCGAGGCGGTACTCGTCACGCTCATGACCGTCAGGGTCGATCTGCTGCTTCCAGTCGCTATGCTCTGCGAAGCACAGCTGGTGCCCGTCACGCGGCGGTCAGCCCACAAAAGACTCGAAACAAGCTGCCCCCGAGCCACCAGTCCGTCGCAGGGGAGCGCCCGCGACAGAATGCGAAGCCCTACTCCCGTGAGCCACCGTGGTTGCAGCGAACAGGACAGGCGGAGCGGCTTGCGGGCGACGGCCTCTCGAGCATGCAAACTGGGCTGCCGGATGGGCCGAACCGCCGCACTGCGCCCTCCCATCGGGGTCCGGCAGCGCACTGCGCGCGGACCCACAACAGGGGCGATGCCAAGACTCTGGACGAGGACAACAACCCCCACCCTCAACGGGGAAACCTTGGCCCCGCTGGGCAGTCTACCCCCCCCCTAGGTGAGGATGGGTACCGCCTCCTTCGGGTCTCGGAGCACCCATCCCCGCCCAGAGGGGGCACGCTGCGAGAGCCGACAACGTGCCCTGCCACGGTGGGGGTGGGGATGGCTCCGACGAGGCTGACGCAAAGACGGAGCCCCGACCCGCACCTGGGCCCCCGCAGCAGGAGGAGCAGCAGGGGAAACCTGCACGAGCGCGAGCGTTCGGAAGCCCGCGCGGAGCTCTTGGCGTCGGCCGTGGGCACTGGCGCGCTGGCCCGAGGAAGGGCGCGCGGGCCTCCGACGGCGCAGGTTTGTGCGCAGCCCCCCGCAGCTGCGGAGGCGAGCGAGGGGGCGGCGCAGGCGTCGGCGGCCCGCGAGGTTCCGAAGAAGCCCGCCGCAGGCGCCCTGACTTTTACGGTGCAACGAGCTCGCCGCAGACGCCGATGTTTCGTTAAAGCAATGTGGGGCGCGGGTGGGTCGCGGGTGGGT